GGTTCGATCCCCCAGCACCACATGCCAGCCAGCCCCACCCCCTGGTGGGCTGAGCTGGCCACACACACACACACAATAAATAAATGTAATAAATAAAAATAAATAATTTTTAAAAACCACATTGAAACCACAGTTTATATGTCAGTGACTTTCGGATTGTGTTAGTGAGCCTTACATGGCTGGCTGTGAAGAGTGCGCAGCTGACGTTTCAAGTATGGCAATGCTGCAGGTATTCTAGAAAAGCTTACCTGACAGCAGGCGCAGCAGGATGTGTGAGGAAACCACCCAGTGTGGCAGATGAGGTGGCGTGAGCCCAAATGTGGTATTGGCGACAAGACTGAAAGCCAAATAGGAGGACTGAGGATTGACACAGGTGCTCTGTAATCAGAGTACCCACAGGACTCAGTTATAGAATGGGCGAATGCTGTACCAGGGCAGGGAAAAATAAAAGATCCATCCAGTGATAGAAACAAAATTCGGAACCTAAATTTGGTGACACTAGATTAAGTTGAAGATGACACTTTAAGTTGAAGTTCTAAAGAGAAACACAAAGTAGATTAAAATTATTCACTTGAAAATGTAAATTTTCACTATGAGAACTTGTTATGAGAATATGCCTTGTGTCAGTAGTGTGAATGTACGACAAACCTGGAAGTTACATTCTTATTTTCTTCTTGGTTAGTTGTTTTCCTAGAAGGTTCAAAGCTGAAAAATGTCTGTGCTATGAGGTGGGGTAGGTTAGGGAATGAAGTTAAACTGAAAAATCGTAGGCTGTGGCACAGCTGAAGTTCCTGTAGCAAGAGTCATGAGTGGGGATTTCTGCTGATGTGGTATTCACAGGGTGGCTTGTTGGGTAAAGTAAAGGTAGTTATTGATAAAGGTTCCACTTGCAAGCATAAGACTGAATGACTTAGGGCACCTCCTCTCACCTGGTGTCATGAAAACCTCAGAACAGAGGACAAGGAAGGCTCTAGGAATTCACTGCCCTCTTCCCTGCCCCCATGAAAAACTAATACTGAAATGAAAATTTAAAAAGATAGAAATATTTACTCAGTGTAAGAAAGGTTTAGATAAATACAATCACTTATTCAATATAAAGTTCACAGATATATATGTTGAAATTGAAATGTTGAAGTTATAATCTGCACCTTAGAATGTCTGTTTCAAAGATATAGTCTTTAAAGAAGTAGTTAAGGGACGGCCAGATAGCTCAGCAGAGTAAAACGCCTGCTTAGGCAGACACAAGGACTGAGGTTCAATCCCCAGTTTGCTGTGCTGGCCCCTCCTCCAGGCTGTGCTGAGCTGGGGACTGAGACTGGCTGTGGTGGCGCGGTGGCGCGCACCTGTAAGCCCAGCACTTGGGATGCTAAAAACAGGAGAATCGCCACGAGTCTAATCTGTGTAGTGAGACCCTGTACTAACTACAATAAATAAAGAAGTAGTTAAATGAGGTTTGGGGGTGTGACTTACCCAGCATGATTGGCTGCCTTATAAGAAAAGGAGGACACACACAGACTAGGGCTGACTATGAGGGCATAGCTAGAAGGCCTGAGAAGAAGAAGCAAAACCTAGTGGCATTTTGAGCTTGGGCTTTCAGGCTCCCAAACTAATAAAATAAATTTCTGTTATTTAAGACACCCAGGACAGTAGATAACATTTTGTTGTAACTCTAGCAAACTAACATAATAGCATACATTTTGGCAAATTCATAAACACAACAAAAAGGTATTAATAACCAGCAAAAACGCTGGTCCTGCAGACAAGAACGTAGCCGTCACTAACCTGCCAGCAGCGCTGCACATGTTTAGGCACCAAATCTTGGTTTCAAATACCACCCTTAATAAATGAAATTGAGGGGGGGGGCGGGGAGATGGAGATGGCTCAGTGGAATAAGCTTTTCCCTGGCAAGCGCAAGGGCCTGAGTTCAATCCCCTGTTCCGCCAAAAAAAAAAAAAAAAATTAGGAAGTAACTGATCCTAGGAATGGGGCAGGAATGGCCAAGATGAGCCCGTAACCTCTTGTAGTGCGGAGAGGACTCAACATACACAGGCATGCACACGTGCACCCCGCTGCACAGCAGCAGAGAGGTCAGAGGGACACAGGAGTTACCAGAGCCATCTGCCAGTCTAGTGAGTTGAACAATAAAACAAAATGGTGTTGGGTTATAACCAGAGTATAAAACAAATATCCATGTGTCCATACCAATATAAATAAGTCATTGAATGCATGAGGAAGAGTAGGCACATCTGTTGTGCGGAAGAACTCCAGGTAATTTAGGTAGGTGTTCCACTCCCGGAAGGAGGCTGCATTGCCTCCTCAAGCAGGCCGGGTGTGCGTGGGACTTCGTCCAAAGAATGAAGTGTGGAAAGTGCAGGATGAAACTAACTCTTCGGTGGCAGTAGGAGACGAACACCACCTCGCAGGGGATCAGGGTCAAGATCGCTATCAGTGAGTCTTGTTGGTGATCCATATTCTTGATGCAGTGTGGTAAGAATGGTAGATGACCTCCTTAAAAATCCATTCCTCCCACTAATTATGAGAACGTCAAACATGCAAATAGAGAAATAGCATACAGTGTAGTTGACAAGTACTCTTTAAAGTTAAGGAGATGGGCTGGCGAGTTAGCTCAGCTGACTAAGCGCCTGCTTAGGCAAGCTCAGGGACCAGCTTTGGATCCCTGGCCCTGCATGCCACGCAGGCCCCAACCCTGAGACCAGATGTGATGATGCATGCCTGTAATCCCAGCACTGGGGAGGCTGAAAAGAGGAGGATCACTGCGAGTCGGAGCTCCGTAGTGAAATCCTGTACCAAATACATAAATTAAAAAATGGTGATAATCAGACAACAAAAGTCTGAAATTTAGAGCCAGGAGAGCTCAGAATATATCTAAATGTGATGTGCTGTACTAGATAAAACCCCCAGCACCACACATCATGCCGGCCACCAAAAGCTGGTGTGGGGACACACACCTGTTATCCCAGCACTGGGAAGGCTGAGACAGGAGGACCACTATAAGTCTGTCTTGTGTAGCAAGACCCTGTACCAAATAAATAAAAGATCAAATAAAAAAAAAAGATACTCTACACTCTATGCCATTTGAGAAACATTTAAATTTTCCACTATTCAGAAAACTGTAATACACTAAACCTCCAGTACACTAAAACAGTTATTGTTTTTTCTTTTAGTTTATTGGTAGTTTTTAAAATTTAATGATTTGCAGCATACAGAATGAAAAGTGGACCGCCTTTCTGTAAGCTATTTTGTTAGTAGGGTGAAGATGTGCGAAGCCTTTGAGGCAGCCTCTAGCCGTGAAGTGACTGTCAGCGTCTCACGGTGTTATGTAGAACAGAAGGAATGGCGTCAGTAACCAAAAGTTTATGCATACAGAATTATGGAGAGCCTAAGGTGCAGGGCAGAGCCCAAGAACAGTACAGTTGAATAGTATTTGAAAACAACTCCGGGTTATATGAACATGCCACTTCTAAGATCTGTGCACTTCGCCGTGACATTTCTGTTCTATTATTTATATATATGGGACTTGGGGAGCACAAAAATGATATTAAATTAAATGCTATTAGTGATTTAAAGTCGTTTTGCAATTGCTTAGTTATGTTAATATGTACTACAATTAATATATCATTTTTTTTATAGCTCTGTCACTAAGTAAAAGCCAGTGCTTCTCAATCTAGTGTCACGAAGGGCCAAGTTTTTATTAACACAGTGGTGTGTGTGTGTGTGTGTGTCCATGTGTGTTGTGCATAATGTTGTATGTATAGCACATTAGGGCTTTCTGTGTAATAAAGTATCACGTGTAGTTAGCCCTGATGAGTAGGGTTGAAGTCCATTTTATTTTATTTTTATTTTTATTTTTTTGAAGTCCATTTTAGAAAGGTTTTCTTTTTTGTTTTTTTGGTGGAACCGGGGATTGAACTCAGGCCCTTGCGCTTGCCAGGCAAGCACTTATTCTACTGAGCTACCTCCCTGGCCCCTGAAGTACATTTTATCATAATCTTTTATTTCATGAAACTGCTCGCTCAAATATTGAAATGTTCTTTTTAATGAAAAGAAAATGTATTTTCACTTTGCTTTTTTTTGGTTGATTTAATTTATACGCAAATTTGCATTCACACAATTTCAAGTTTAGGTTTCCTGATTTTCCGTTAAGTTACATTTTCTGGAGCTGTTACAAGGATTGTTATGTTTAATTAATCTATGTTTTCACTTTCAGGCTAGTGTTTGGAATGCTTTATCCTGCATATTATTCATACAAAACTGTGAAGACAAAAAACGTGAAGGAGTATGTAAGTAATTTTCATTTAATTTATTAATAATATACAACAGTGGAGAAACTACTCTTCTTTTAGAATCAGCTGAACTCGTGTTTTGGGTTAAGATGTATTATAAATGTGAAGTAATGAAATTAATCTTTTTAAAAAGCTAACTTTGAAGACTACCCTGAAGTGCAGCTTCAAAAGCAGTTCGTGGTCGGCTGCCATCTGCAGAAGTGTCTGGGGCCTCAGATGACTAAGCGGATAGTTCTTGACTTAGTCTGTAAATGCCAGTGTAATAAGGCCCTGGGTGGCTTTTGTCAGTGTGTTTGACTTTTGGAGAAGGGATGTGGCTTTTCTAGCCTTACAAGCCTGTAGATGGAGAACATCTCTATGCAAAGCCCATTTCTTTTGTATGTCTTTTATCACTTTCTGATTGCTTAATTATGCAAATATTCCATCACTAGTGGCAGTTCTTTTTGAACTAGGCTATATATATATATATATATATATTTTTTTTTTTTTTTTTTTTTTTTTTTTTTTTTTTTTTTTTGCGGAACCAGGGATTGAACTCAGGCCCTTATGCTTGCCAGGGAAGTGCTTATTCCACTGAGCCATCTCCCCAACCCCAATTATTTTGTTTTTAATCCTTAATTTAGCATTTTTCTTTCCTTCAGTTCTTTCAGTTTCTTCAGTTTACTCATCCCTGTTCTGTTTTCACCCACTGTCTTATCATTTCCATCAGTTCTGCTCTTTCCCGGTTGTGTTTTTGCTGTGTAATAGAAAGGGACCTTCCTCATGGGTGCACGCTGGCATAGTTTGCTGTTTGACCAAAAGCAAAAACCTGCTTTGTTTTTAGTTAATAGGGAAGCAGTGGATTCTAAGGTAACTCACATCAATTAACTGTGGCTCTTTTTTAATTGAGAGTGCCTTTGATGACATGACATTAACCATTTCACAATGAATAATTCAGGGGCCGGGGAGATGGCTCAGCAGAGTAAGAGCTTGCCTGGCAAGCGCAAGGCAATCCCTGGTTCAGTCTGAGTTCAATCCCTGGTTCTGCAAAAAAAAAAAAAAAAGAATAATTCAGCGACATTTAATATAGTCACAGTATTCTGCAATACATTACCTCTCCCTGGCTGCCCATGACACCAAATCAGGACACTGCCCAGTAAGCAGCAACTCCTCGTCCACTTGTCCCAGGATAAGATCCATATGGAAAGGTTTTGTTGAATTGTTATATTCTGAAGTCCAAGAAAGCACAAGATACATAGTAGTTACTCAGTACATTTTAAATGAATGAACGGATGGGTAAAAGCAAATTCATACATGCATCGCAAGTGTAACGTTTGGCTTGCTCTAGTCTCTCAGCTTTGATTCTGCTTGAGTCGGAGTGCGCAGTCCAGTCTGAACATGCGTCCCAAGGTCCAGTTTCTTCGTGGTATTTGGTTATGACCAATGACCTAATTCTGCTGATAGCTACTTCAAAACTCTTTTCTAAAAGTAAACAGTGTCGGTTAATTTACTTCTTTCCATTCTAACTACTGCCATTCCCTGTAAGCCTGCACATGGCAGGCTGCACCTGATAAAACACGCAGTGTTCAAATCAAAACAAATGGGAAGTGCTGTGTATTTTGGCAACTTTCCTTTCTTCCTTTGCCTATTTTTAAAGCAGAGCCTTCCTAGGATATAATTTCCTGTGTAGTGTGGCTGATACGGCCTATCGAGTCTCTCAGCCTTGCAGTAATTGAAATGTAAACTTACTGAGGAATGAGTATAATCTTACGGAATTGTTTCAGGTTCCTACCATCTTTTGACTTGAAAACAGTATTTACTTCCCAGGCATATGCAATTGCTGCAGCTTTTCTAGGAAACCAGTGTTCTTCTCAGAATGTTAGAGAGAGCAACAATAAAAAGATGGGCTAGCAGCATTTCACAATTAAAATCAGACGTTTAGTCCTAAGACTTACTGTGAAGAAGAGCAAAGAACAGGAAGGACACTGGGGGCTACTCGTGAAAAGGCCTAGAAATGGCCCTCTGAAGCGCTGACTTGGTGTTTTTAATGACCTAATATTTGCCTGAACATTTAGGTAGTAGGAACCTGAACAACTCTGCCTTAGGCTGCTTTATTGCTGTCACTCACTAGTGAGATCTGAAGTCCTCCACTGGGTGTGGAGAAACAAGGGGCGCAATCATGCTAATGAACCTTTAATTGTCAAAAAGTGCTTCTTGGTACCTCTTGGTATTTCAGAATAGTGATACTCACCTGAGAGTTGGGGAGGCCACTTAGTGGCAGGGTACTTGTGTGACATGCACAGAGCCTGGCTTGGGCCCTGCCCTGGAAAAGAGAGCTGTGTGATTCAAGGCCTTTGTCAAACTCATGCTTCTCTGCTTATTTTCCATTCTGATCTACTTGTGTTTTTTTTTTTTTTTTTT